CTTGTGTTCCTGGCCGTTTGGGGGGCGGGGGGGGGGGCGCGCTAATCTCAGAGACTCATTCTGTCAGAAAAGATTTTTCCAGAGCAGTTTGAACAGATTACTCACATGGCAAAGTCTGTGTCAAGCAGAGAACTAGCTTTTCCCAAACAAACGTAGGAGGTGTGGATCTCAACCCACAGCTCAGGAGCGAAATTAGTAAGACCTCTCTTTTCCCTTCATTCAAGTTAATGAATTTCTGTTTTGAGTCCCCATTCTGTCGAGCCCATGCAATTTGATCTGGGTCAATTCCGGGACCCCCTTTTCTCCAGTTTGAGTCTTCAGAGGTTTTGGGGGGGGGCTTGTGTATCTTTCAAGGTATTGGGGGGGGGAGCTAGTGTTCCTGCCCCTGCCCCACTCTGCCACGCACCCCGCTCCCTCTGTGACATGCTTGCGTGCTCGGGAGTTCAAGAATTACGCAGACGTTCCTGTGCGGCAGAAGTCTCCCCGAGGCTGTCCTGGGCCCTGTCTGCAGCCATCCTGTTTGACAGCCAGGGTTTCGGGTAGAGGGTGGCTGAACGTGAAGGGTCCGCAGGACAGGCCAGACGTGTTGGCACGGAGTGCGCTGCCGAGCGGAAGCGGCTCTGTGGCTCCTGGCGCCTGCTTGTTGGCTTGACGGCCTGTCTGCAGGCACCGGCAGTTAGCTTGTGGGTTAGCCCGTGACCCTGACCGTGACCAGAGCCACCTCCCGGAGGGGCCTCCTGCTGCCGCATCAGGTCCTGTGTGTTCTCTCTCCGGGGCGTTTGGCCAGGTTGGCCTTGCTCTTGACTTACTCCTCCATGACTCTGAGGTTTTCCCTCCCGATCCTGTCTTAACTTCTCACTGTTCTACCTCCTTCCTCTCCTCCTCCCGCTCTGGAGTGTTGGGGTCTCCACGGATCTGGCCCAGACCATCTTCCCTCGAGACTGTCCCCCAGCGTTTCAGGGCGTCCATGGTTGATTCCGTCAGCCGCTGCTGTGCACCTGGCCTGTGTCCCCGTGGCCCCTGCACAGATCAGCTGCCGTCCTCCGGCACCGTCATCCTCTCCTCCGTCCCGGCCCCTCTCATGATCTTGGGTTCCTCCCTCGGGCCAACCAGCGTCTTCACCCCTGCCCTGCTGCTGGTCTCCTTTGGCCCAGAGCTCCTTCATGCTCTGGTTTCTCATGTGGGCTGGTGTCCAGAGGCCTCTTCCCAAAGCTGGAGGCATCGGTTCTTGCCCCATCTCCCCACATCTGCAGGGCCTCCCCGGGCACCTGGCCCTCCTAACTATGCTGTTCCTGTTCTTCCTCTGCTGCCTGGAACCTTCCCTGTGCCCACCCCGCTCTTCCCGCAGCCAGCCTGCGAACTCAAAGGTGGGACTCACAGACCTCCCACAGGTGTTCCCCTGGTGGAGGGAAGACCATGTGTTGTGGTGCTAATGGAACCCAGCCGATGGGGGGTCTGTGTCGCCAAGAGCAGGGGCAAGAGCACAGCCAGCTTGTCTAGAAGTGGAGGGCCCAGGCCACTCAAGACCCTCAGACCCCTGAGACGTCAGGCTCGAGGGCTCCCCGCTTGGAAGGAACCCACAATGACTACACCTGCTGCACGTCTCCCTCCCCACAGCCTGTGCGCGCTGGCCGTCTGGTTTGCAGACCGCACGCTTCTGGGCTACCTGGGCTGTCCAGGCCATCCCAGAAGAACCTCCTGGATGAGCACCTTTGCAGTCTGGGCCTGGCAGCGTGCATTCCAGCAAGCTCCTTGTGCTGGACAAGACGCTGGCTCCCCAAAGACGGCCTCAGCCCAGTCCCTGCCACCTGTCACTGTGTGGCAGAAGGGACCTTGCAGATGAACCTCGGATGGGGAGATTCTCCTGGACTATCTGGGTGGGCCCAGTTCCATCCCACGAGGTCCTGAAAACAGAGACCTTTCCTGGCTGGGATCAGAAGGAGACGTGATGGCCAAAGACTCAGATGAGGTCCTGCCGGCTTCGAAGAGGAACGAAGGGGCCACAGCCCGTGAACGCAGGTGACGCAGGCCAGGAAACAGCCTCCCCTCTAGAGCCTTCGGAAAGGAACATGGCCCCGCCGACACCCTGGTGTTAGCCTGGCGAGGCCCCCGTCGGACTTGGGACCTACAGAACGGTAAGATGCCCTGTCTGTGAGTCTCCAGGTTTGTGGGGGTTACGGCAGCAGTTGGTACACTCCTCCCGTGAGTTTCCTTAGATTTGAGAACCTTTGCTCTATGCATTCAGTCAACTGCATGGTTTCACGTGGTGGGTGCTCCTTAATCAAAAACCTCTTGATTCTGGCACCTGCTGCCACCTGCTTGAGTCCCTGCTCAAATTCCAGAGAGGAAGCGAATGAACACGTGAACAGGTAAGTCTGGCCCAGCTCCTGTTTCGCTGCAGGACAAGCCATAGGATGCTTGTCACCAGGATGGACTGGCTACCTTGGGACCAGCTTTGGCCAGAGGGCCCGTCCCGGGTAGAAAATGTGGCCTCGGTGGGCTGCCCATGTAGTGGGGGCTCTGGATGTAGAGGCAGCATGACTGGTGTCTGGGACCTGTCATCTGGGAGGGAGGGGGCAGGGAGGACTCAGGAAGATTCCTGGGGCTGACTCTGCAGGATGGTGCGGCCTTGCCGGCAGGTGGAGGCACAGAGTTGAGGCAGCCGAGCACTTAGGCTTTGGTTGGCCTCTTGGTGCTGGAGTGCAACCCGCCGTGGCGGAGGGGCTGCCCAGGGGATGGAGGTGAGGTCCCTGAGGACTGGGTGCCCAGCGCCAGAGGGGCTGGGGAGCTGGGAGGGACTCTACTTGGGGAGGGGGGAGAGTGACGGTGGGCACTCAGGAGAATGGGTTGGAGTTTGGGACTTAGGCCCTGGGAGCTAACGCTTGTCCTCCTCTACGGTTCTGAAATCCCTGAGGCCAGTCTGGGCTTCATTCAGCAGCTCGGCTGGAAGAACGGGGAGAAGGGAGGGTTGGGGGGTGGGGGAGTTCGGGAGAAGGAGAAGGTTTGATGCACAGAAGACAGTTGAGTGAGGAGCTTTAATTGGCAGAACTCTCTTCCGAAAAGGATCCTGTTTCGAAGGCTCTTTGGCAGACCTTAGAAAGCAAATGCTGAGAACTATCCAAGCCCGAGTGCATCTCAGAATACTGAGATTACAGTAATTACCACAGTACTGATCTGCAAAGTAAGCATAGGGAAGGCCAGTCAAGCTCTGACCTTGCCATTTTTTAAAATATCAAATTCTTGGGGCGCCTGGGTGGTTCAGTCGGTTGAGCGTCCGACTTGGGCTCAGGTCACGATCTTACGGTTTGTGAGTTCGAGCCCCGCGCCGGGCTCTGTGCTGACAGCTCAGAGCCTGGGGCCGGCTTCAGATTCTGTGTCTCCCTCTCTCTCTGCCCCTTCCCCACATGTGCTCTGTCTCTGTCTCTCCGAAATAAATAAATGTAAAAGAATAATAATTAAAAAAATAAATAAATGTCAAATTCTTCCCCGAGAAACGTTCTGGGACTGAGCCCGGCCTGTCTGTGGTGGGGACGGGGCTGAGGCAGATCCGGCTGCAGAGGCTGCACATGCGTGTGTTCACAGTTCTAGATTCGGGGAAGGAAGGACGGGTGACAGACCTGTGAGCCACCTGGCGGCCACGCTGAAATGTCTCCAGCCACTCGTGGAGGTCCAGGCTGCAGCAGTGGAAGAAGGTCCCGGATCCCTCCCGGCTGCAGCCCCTCGGGCCGGACTCACTCGGGGTGTAGTTAGTGAAGAAGAAACCACAAGTACAACAGGTTTTGGTAAATCACTTTTCTCTGGAAATAAAAGGTCGATTCATATTGTTCTGTGGAAACCCTGGACTGCTGTGGCCATGGCGAGGGTTTGAGGTTAGTGCGGATGCCCTGGACGGTCTGAGAAATGAGCAGACAGACCGCCTTGTGTTTGCCCTTCCCTTTCCCGATTGTAACACGACGTGAGGCGGAGGAAAGAGTCCAACATGAGACTTTAGTTCCTGAGGCGAAGCATTATTCCCTCATCCTTAGTATTTGCTTAAGCAAATGTTTATCTAAAATCTTGTTAAAAACTTGACCCCCTCCTGCCCCCTGCCAGGCAGGGACAGCTGTGTTCAGATAGTGTCTCATTTCCTCATGAATCACACTGATGCGTTATAAATAGTTCTTTATTACAAGTTTATATATGTGCTTGATACATAAAATATATTTCATTTAAAATATTTAAAAGAATTGCTGAAATTAAGCGGTTTATTCTGATTCTTGCTAAAACCATCTTCACATTCGAGCCTTTATCTCGTTTTGTTTATTTATGAGAGAGTGTGCAAGTACGTGAGCCGGGGAGGGGCAGAGAGAGGGGGAGGATCCCAAGCAGGCTCCATGCTGTCAGCACAGAGCCCGGCACGGGGCTTGATCCCGTGACCTTGAGATCGTGACCTGAGCCGAAACCAAGAGTCGGACGCTCAGCCGACTGAGCCACCCAGGCACCCCCACGTTCAAGCCTTTAAATGTGGGGAGGCCACGGCTCCACACAGACAGGAGGACACGGTCAGTAGCACAACAGCGCCGCTAAACGTAGTAGCATCACCTTTTTTTGGAAGAAGGGAATGATTCTAGATCACCCTCGGTGAAAAACAAATACTCTTCTCTTACGCCGCTAATACTGTGGGTTCTTAGATCCCAACAGTTTGGTGTGTGCACGTCCCCACGTCTCTACGTCCCGCCCTGATTTTAGGAGCCACAACATTCAAGAAAGGCCGCAACATCACACGAAGCCCCACTGGTCTCTGGGGCTGTTATGTGGCCGGGCCACCTGTTCACATGCCTTTACAAGAACAGACCTTGGGCCTGCGTCTCATTCAAGCGCTCGGGCGGTGCCGTTGGCCGTGGAGGAGAGCTCAGCGGTCCCACTCGCTGCCGGGGCTCGGCTCGTCACCGTCCTCCTCCTCCGAGTCAGCAGACACTCTCTTGATTCTCTGGAGTGCCGCCTTGATACTTGTCTCCAGGTCACTGGTTGGTTTGCTGCTGGGGCTCAGGTCGAGGCCGGAGTGAACTTTCCTCAGTTTGACCCCCTGCCTTATGGCAGCCAGAAGTTGCTCATTGAACGAGGTGCGGGGAGGGGGCGAGGCGGTCACCTCCGTTCTCTGCAGAGGGGTCCTGCGGCTCCTTAAGGAGGCCAGCACTTCGTCCATAGATCCTGAAATTGAGCGGACAGAGCAAGGACCGTCAGAACCCACACTCTCTCTCCCCGAGGCACCAGGGCGTTTTTGTACCAGTTATGGGTTACGTCGCACATAGGTTAATAACGCGGTTTCAGCAAATAATCATTCCGTGAAACAAATGCTTTGAGCACCTGCGAGAAAGGTCAACCGCTACCTCCCTGTTTGAACACAGGGTGGCTTAATCGCTAATATTTCACTTCGGCCACTCGCTGCCCGCCACTCCCTCAGAGTCACAGCAACTCAGGCACAGTCACACACACCTTTCGTCCCAGTGGCTGTTTTACAAGATGCAGGTGTTGTCTTTTTGTGTGATCCTGAAGAGGGGTGAAAACCTAGGGTGCAGATAACCTGATCCAGTAAGCACGAGAGCTGCACAGTTTCAGTAAGTGGTATCTTCTCCGTGTTCCTTCCCTACAGTGGACCTGCTGTATTTCTCTAATTTCACCACTCTTTTTAAAAAATTTTTTAAGGAGTATTCATTTTTTCAGAGACAGAGACAGAGCACGAGCAGGGGAGGGGCAGAGAGAGACACACACAGAATCCCAAGCAGGCTCCAGGCTCCTGGCTGTCAGCACGGAGCCCGATGCGGGGCTTGAACTCCTGGACCACGAGATCACAACCTGAGCTGAAGTTGGACGCTCAACCGACTGAGCCCCCCAGGCGCCCCCTGACTTCGCCACTCTTGGATGTTAGTCAGCGGTGACTCATTCTGTGGCGGTGACGGGGGGAGGTCTGCGCACAGGAAAAGGCTGGAAGTAGACTTTAGTCAGTGGCTCTGTGAGCCTGATGGGGGCCATGCTGGTGCATCTCTGCTGGTACCTGATAACTGCACCCGAGCGAACGTATGCCTTCTACCTGAGGGTGCACAATGCTGTCAAAACACAAATTCAGAGTTTCAAGGCCTGGGTGAGGAGGAGCTATTTTCTCCTCAGGCACCTTGAGACCCCCGAGGGGGTAAAATCTTTGACCTCTACCTGCTGGAGACGGGGGCGCGACTGTGGTCACTAATGTAGAGGTGTCCGGGTGAGGCTTCAAGATGGAAGTCGTTTCTGGTTCAGGATTGAGAGGCCGTGCTCTAACAAAATACTAGTTCAGCCTGGATTTGAACCCACGACTTCTCATCACAGCTCCCTTCCAGGAGTGACAAAGCCTCACACTTGGTCATTTCGGGTACTCACACTTTTTTATTCTTTGCAGTGAAACGGGGCAACGTGTGTGTGTGTCGAGGGCCTCCCAACACGGTGTGAGTTAACCCTGAACCGGGATGAGTCCCCCACAGAGGTCTGCTCACATCCAAACTCCAGGCCCAGGCATGTGAGCTCTTGCTTTTGCTACACTACGTTGTTGCGGACCCTGTGGAAATGGGCCAGCTGGGTCTCCTCCTAACAGTGTGGACATTTTCATTGGTACCTGGTTCTGGATACAGTGACCCGTGAACTCCGAATAACCAGAATACCGGAACCACAGTTTGGAACCGTTTTTTTCCCACGATTCCCATCACCTACTGCAGAGATCTTGCGCATTCTAGGTGGGGGCGCTCAGACGTAGTCTTTGTAACAAGCGCACACGTTTGTCTAACACTCCCCCTCCCCGAAGCCGTAGGTTCTGAGTCTGGGCAGATTTAAGCCAGTCTCAACAGTCAGTGGATCAGACCAAACGAGAGCTGCAAGTCAGAGCTTCAGCCCTCCTTAAACAGAAAATTCGTGTATTCAGTGTACTGTACTTGCAAAGGCAAGACGTGGGCTGTTTTTTTTTTTTTTTTTTTAACCACTTCATTTTAGAAAGCTCTCCCTAAGTAAGGTTTCTCAGTCCACCAGTCTGTGGAACAGCCAGGAATATTCTAATATTCCTCTGCAGTCAGTGCCAACCAATATTCTACTTAAGCCGCGACAATTTCATTCTGTAAATGACTCACAGACTCAACAGGAACACGGAGAATTCCAGGGGCCGAAGTCTTAAGAACCTGAAACGGGTGATGCAGCAACAGAGATCCCAAGTCACGTGACCACGGAATGTGTAGACCTGGTTTCTTCGAGGCGAGTTCGCATTTGTGAAACTCAGACTGTGCTGACTTTGCAGTCAGAGAGTGACACTAAAGGCAGCGAGCACTGGGGAGTTTTAAGAGCGGAGAGAACGCTGACAAAGCCTGATGGGAGGGGGACTGATTGCTTCCCCCGCCCCCCACCCCCACCAGCGCCCGAGTGGGGGGAGCAGCAGCGGTTACCTGGGCCTCGGGGACCGGCTACGGCTGCGCAGTGGCGCGCTCTCACGGCAGGCGGTTCGCCCCGCAGGGGAAGCGGCTCCTCTGTCCCCGGAGTCCTCAGGGCCGAGTTCTGGCGATCTGCGTACGGACCAGGGAGGGGCGGCGGTGGCGGTGGTGGTGGTGGCGGTGGCGGCGGCGACAGTTCCTCACTGGATTTGGAGCGTGTTTGGTCACCAGCTGGAACAGAGCTCTGGTCGGTATTTCCAGAACAGTCCCGATCCTCACGGATTTTCGCATCGCTGCCGTCAGGTGTCTCCCCTGGGGACGCAGCCGTCTGAGGGGCGAGCCCAGCTGGCAGGTGCAGGGCCGCAGCCCCCGAGCACGGCGATGTCGCTGCAGACCCGCCCGGGCACCTCTGGGGAGGAAACACGGGGTCAGAAAGCGGCCGCAGACTCGAACCATCCGAAGGGTGACGCTTGGTGCAAATGCTCTCGTTCACAGAGTGGCTCCTCATCACCCTGGATGGCCAGCCTGCCTACGAAAGCCGTTCTTACGGAGGAAGCATCCACATCCCTTGATAGATACCGCTTGCTCTGTGACAAAGACAGGCCAGTGTACATGCAGATGAAAACACTCCTAGTGTTAGTATGAACAATAAAACTCGAAAGAGCAACAACAGGAAGTTAACTTCAGAAAACTGGTGAACTTATTTAAAATAGTAGGCAGCAACGAAAAACCGTAAATAGTACAAAGTCGTGAAACATCCTAAAAGAATACAGATGACGCGGTGTTAAATTCACAACCACGTAAAACAGCTGTCTGAAAAACTCCCATGGAGTGGACCTCAAAGTGATGGTTATCACATGTTTCTTTTCTCTAAGTTTTAGGTTTACAGTAAACTTTATAATTTAAAAATGTGAACTTAAAATGTTCCGGTCTCAGGGCACCTGGGTGGCTCAGTTGGTTAAGCAGCGGACTTTTGATTTTGGCTCAGGTCATGATCTCATGGTTCATGAGTTCGAGCCCCGCATCAGGCTCTGCACTGATAGCACAGACCCTGCTTGGGATTCTCTCTCCCTCTCTGCCCCTCCCCTGCTCATGCTCTCTCTCTCAAAAATAAAACAAAACATAAACATTAAAAAAAAGAAGAAGAAAAAGAAAACATTCTGGTCTCTCAAGTATTAGTTTGATAAGTAAAAACATAACCTTAGGGGTGCCTGGGCGGCTCAGTCGGTTAAGTATCCCAACTTCAGCTCAGGTCGTGATCTGGTGGTTCGTGGGTTCAAGCCCTGTATCAGGATCTGTGCTGTCAGGACAGAGCCCACATTGGATCCTCTGTCTCCCCTGCTTTCTGACCCTCCCCAACTCGCCCTCTCTCAAAAATAAACATTAAAAAATGTTAAAAAAGAAAAACATAATCTTATAAACGAATCCTGAGTGGTGGGAAGGTGGTCCCTAATGTAGGCACTGACTAGCCAATAAAACACATAAAATGTTAATACTATGTAGCCATTAAAATGAACTACATCTACCTATCTATCTGTAAATAAGAACACATCTCCATGTAATTTAAGTGAAAAAAGAAACTGGCAGAGCATGTATACAATGGGATAATACTAATGTAAATTTAGTAGTAATACACCAAAAGGGCAATTCATGATAGAGTACAAGCATACCTCACCATATTGCCCTTCATTTTGCTTTGCAAAAATTGCATTTTTTTTTTTTTAATCAATTGTGGGCTCATGGCAACCCTGAGTCGAACAAGTCTGTCAGTGCTATTTTTCCAGTAGCATTTGCTCAGTTGGGGTCTCTGTGTCACATTTTGGCAATTCTTGCAATATTTCAAACTTTTTCATCGTTACGGTGATGGTCTGTGATCAGTGATCTTTGCTGTTACTATTACAGTTGTTTCTGGGGCGCCCAAACTGTGCCTGTATAAGGCAGTAAACTTCACTGTTGTCTTATTCTAAGAAATGGCCACAGCCTCCGCCTTCTGCAGCCACTGCCCTGATCAGTCAGCAGCCACCGACATCGAGGCAAGACCCTCCACTGGCAGAGATGTTACAACTTGCCAAAAGCTCGCCGGATGGCATTTTTTAGCAACAAAGTATTTTTAAATTAAGGTATGTACTTTTTTGTAGACCTAATGCTATTACTGCACACTTAATACACTGTAGTATAAACACGGTTTTATATGCACTGAGAAACCATTCATTCGACTCGCTTCATTGTGGTGGTCTGGGACAGAACCGGCACAGTCTCCAAGGTGTGCCTGCATTTCTCGCTCCTCCACATTTTTCTTTTTTATTAAAAAAAAATTTTTAATGTTGATTTATTTTTGAGAGAGACAGAGCATGAGCGGGGCAGGGGCAGAGAAAGAGAGGGAGACACAGAATCCTAAAACGGGCTCCAGGCTCTGAGCTGCCAGCACAGAGCCCGATGTGGGGCTCGAACTCGTGAATCACGAGATCATGACCTGAGCCAAAGTCGGACGATCAACAATTGAGACACCCAGGCATCCCTCTCCTCCACATTCTTCTAAGTCTTTCCACGACAGAAGAGCGATGGCAATAAGCCCCAAACCTCACGGATGCGGCTGCTGGTCATGCAGCCACCATACTGTGCCTTTCTGTCATCATATGCCGGGAGAATCAGAATCCTGGAAACCCTGGGCCAGACTCGGGAGGTCATCCAGCCATTCCCAAACCCCAAGGACCCCTCCTCGGCATCCGGGCACCGGCATGTCGCTGTGACCCTGGCCTGTTGAGTTCTGCCTCATGGTGCTGGGCAGTCTGTGTCCCCAGGGCTCACTCAAGACACACCAAATCCTTTACCTCCCAGCAGCCCAACCTGTCTGGGCTCAACAAGTGTCACATATCAAGTGATTCACTTCCCGTCTTCTCCCTCTCCTACTTTCCCCCTTCCAAATGTGCTCAGATTGGCTTTGTCCCTTTGAGGGTGGCACTTCTTGGTAAACAGACTCCCCTCATTCTACAGAGGACTCATCTGTTCGTACATCTTAAAAAGTCCCAGGCTTTTCTCGAACTTCTTCACAAGTGACTGCTAGGAGGCTGGAAGAAACTCCATTCTCGAGGTTCTTTCCCCTACGTTTAAAGCCCACACACTCCATCTTGCCACCCTCTGGAGAAATCCACACCTCCAAAGGCCAGAAAACCCTCAGCTCGCGCACCTCGGAGACAGGTTCCGTTCCAGACCACCACCAGTGTGAGGTCAACGTGTTGGATTTTTAAATTCATCCTTCTAGTCTATTGAAAGCACAGGTGGCCTGATTCTGTTCCCTTCCTTCGGTCTATCCCTCCCACCTCCAGATTTGAAAATTTGATCCTGATCGGATGCTCCGGGGCTAAAGAGCCAAACTTGCACCCCCGGATCCGTCCTCCATCCAGGCTCCATTAACCAGTGCCCTCGGGCGAGAGCTGACCAACCAGCTGTCCTGCGCCCATTCGCCCTACCTTCACCTGGTTTCACACAGCATCCCTCCGGCTCACCCTCCCTCCTTCTGGAGGTGGGGTCTAGGCATCAGCAATTCTGATGTGCTGCCCAGGCAGGAGAAGGCCTCTGCGGCTCCAGAGTTAGGAGACAGGCGGCCGCACACAGTCCCGAGCGACGCTGTGCCATCACACGGGCCGCAGGGTTAAGAATTAAATGAGAAAGAACGGGAAATGTCTGGCACCGGGCTGGTATGCAGTTAGGCGCTGGTTAATGAGCACATCAGAAAACAAGTTGAGGTCAGCGTGTCATGATTTATCACTCCAGGGGCCCCATTCCTTGGTAGCACAGCACACCTTCAAGACCTTATCCCGGAGTCCTGTCTGGGAGTGGGACGTTTTCCCTTGTGGGGCAGCTACGAACGTGGATCTGTGTGATGCAAACAGATTTATGTTTTATATTCAGCTAGTTTAACGTTATTTTTAAATGAGTAGCTACTTGTTTTTAAACTTATACACTTTTAACAGAGTACCTAACTATACCAGGTCACAGGGATTCCTTGGCTGCATTTCATTTAATTTTTGTTAATGTTTATTTTTGAGAGAGTACACACAGGGGAGGGGCAGAGGGAGAGGGACAGGATCCGAAGCGGGTTTTGCACTGACAGCAGTGAGCCTGACGTGGGGCTTAAGTTCACAAACCGCAAAATCGTGAGCAAAGTCGGGCGCTTAACCGACTGAGCCACCAGGTGCCCCTCCTTGACTGCGTTTTACAGAATGTTAATAAAGTCAGGAAAAAGCAAGCGAAGGTTGAGGGCAATGTAACTGTTTTCAGTTTTTCTGGCTGGTCAACAGCATGGTGGGCAGAGTCAGCACCACTGGGTCAGGAGGAGAGAGCAAGAACCCTGGTGTCTTGCAATGTCAAAAATGTTAACATTTTAATATTCTTGTTTTTTACTTCTATACTAAAAATGATGGCATTTGAGAAACATTTTGTGTTCCAAATTATCGGTTCATAATACTTTATACTTTTCTCCTAGGATGGGCGGTCTTCATTTCTCCAGAAAATGGAGGTGAGGGGTAATTATTTGTAAAACTTACACCTTTATTTATTTTTTAATGTTTATTTTTGAGAGAGACAGAGAGAGAGACAAAGCTGAGCAGGGGAGGGGCAGAGAGAGGGAGACAAGAACCCGAAGCAGGATCCAGGCTCCGCATTGTCAGCATGGAGCCCGACGCGGGGCTCGAACTCATGAACTACAAGATCACGACCTGAGCCAAAGTCAGACGCTCAACTGACTGGGCCACCCAGGCGCCCCTAGAACTTACCTCTTTAAATGCTCTCAATCGTTGGAGTGTCTTCTTGCGTTCCTGGTTTATCCATTCTTTTTTCTTTTGCTCCTCTTCTCTTATCTTGTCTCTTTTCTATATTTAAGCAAACGTGTATTTGTAAATTTCTCAAACTAAAAGTGTTGAGAAAGACAGGGTGTGTGATGCAACGTTACCCCCTCCCCGGGTCTCACCCCCATGTCCCCTCCCCAGGCTGCAGGACTGGACTGCAGTCTCCCCAGGATCAAGGCTGGCACCTGCCAGCCCCGGGGCAGTGGAGCCCCAGTTTCTAGAGATCTAAGCCAGTGTGTCACATTATGCAAATATAAACCATGTTCTCTACAGCCACTTACCATCTGGATACTGTGATGCTGATGAAAGTGTTTCATACTTTGTGCAGCCAGTTGTAGTCGGAGCCGATGATTCTCTTTGCACTGATCCTGGGAGAATAATACAAGTCACGTACATGGTTTTTGATATTACTGTGGGCTCTAGCAAAGAAGTTTAAAAGAAGGCACTGTATTTGTGCTGTCACGTAAGGCGGTTGTTAATACGAGTTTCTGTGGTTCCAGGATCCTGCCTCCGCTAGCCTTGTGATATGTGCTGACGGGCGCCTTACAGGAGTCCACGGTACCCACTCATAGGACCACAGCTGTGATTCAGCGCCACGAAAGATGAAAAAGCAAATCCTCCAAGTGGAAATGAGAGGACACACAGGCAGTCCCCTGTTCTTAAGTGGCACGTGTCCTAAGAATCTGTTTCAATGTGATTATTTTAAACTCAGCTCCTCATATTACAATAGTATTTCCAGTCATAACTACATGACCATATGCAACCTACAAACACCTGAAAAATTCTACTAAAAACTGTATTTTAACTAAACTTAACCATTCTTAAGGTGTGTTACCTTTTTTTTCCTTTTTTTTTTAATTTTAGAGAAAGTGTGAGCAGGAGAGGGACAAAGAGGAAGAATCTGAAGCAGGTTCCATCTCAGCACAGAGCCCGACTCAGGGCTCCATCCCACAACCCTGGGATCATGACCTGAGCTGAAATCAAGATCGGACACTCAACCAACTGAGCCACTCAGGTGCACCTTTTATGTATTAATGAAGTTTTTGGTGGTTTTTGTTTTTGTTTTTTTAAGTTTTATTTTTGTTTCTTTTGAGAGAGAGAGCACTGGGGAGGGACAGAGACAGAGAATCCCAAACAGACTCAACACCATCAGTGCAGAGCCTGATGCGGGGCCCAAACCTCCAAACGGTGAGATCATGACCTGGGCCGAAATCAAGAGTCGGATGCTTAACCGACTGAGCCACCCAGGCACCCCATATCACAGAGTTTTTAAAAATTAAGAAAAAAAAAAAAAAAAAAAACCACTCACCAAATACAAGGATTGAAATGAGCTGAATATTATTTCTAATATTCTACAATCAACGTTTACAATAAATTTTAGAAACAAATTTTAGAATTTACTCCAGCTGATTATGAGAAGCTTCTACCTATTGTGATTTTAAAAATACCTGTGTATGTAACAGGTATTCAACAAACAATTGTTGAACAGATCGATCAAAATCTAGAGATTATGGTAAATGCTTAAATCCCAAAAGACACAGAATCCTTTTCAAAAGGATTATACTTTTAAAAAGTATACTTTTAAAAAGTATACTTTTAAAAAGTATTTTATTATACTTTTCAAAAATATATATATATTTTCTTGAATTGCAGCCATTGGTATCTATATAAACACGCAAGAAGTGAATCACTGTGTGGTCGAGAGCCTTATCTTGAGTGGAGGAGTCCTTGAGTGGGGAGAGGAGAGCCGCTGGGCTGCCCACCCGTCTGTTCCTGAGACAGGCCCTCCGGGCGCAGATCCTGCCCCGCTTGCGCTCCAGGCGCTGGTGCTGCCGCCTCAGCTCTGCCGCCTCCAGGTCCTCGTCGCCAGGCAGCCCCGCCACACAAGCCACGGCCTCAAGTTCCTCTGCACTCTCACATGGGTCGTAATAGACAACTTCCCCCTCTTTATCTAGAAACACAGTGGTGACATTTAAAACGTGTTTGGTATAAAAAATAACACACGAAGATACCTTCAGTGTAAGGGAAGTACGGGAGACTTGTAACCCCGCCACCCAGGGAGAGCTGCTGTTAGCACCCGTGTGGGGAGGCGAGGGAGTGTAGAGACACACACACACACACCAGTAACAGTGCTAAGAGGACATTTTCCATGTGATGGAAAGAGAACTTCAATGGCAACACAGTATTCTCTCATTGAAGCACTCTGTATCGTTAGAAATATTCCAAGTTCCATTATTATCAAATTCACCGTGATGAACATCTGAACATAAAGTCTTTGTGTACACTTTTATTACTTCCTTAGAGATGAATAGTCAAGGCTCTTGGCAGCTAGCACTCGATCGCCCTCCAGAAAGGAAACCCACATTCTGCCCGCAGTGTCTCATTAAGGTGCCTTAAAGACATTTAATCGTGATTACGTACATATCTTTTAAAAATACACGCTAATTGTGACAAATCCTAGCTGTGCAGAACTAAATAAAATAGAAAGTGAAATTTTCTTCTTCCTTTCCCAAACCTTGGGGAGCCCATTCCCAAAGGAAAACATTATGAACAATTTGGCATGCATCTTTCTGGATTAACTCTTTCAGTAGGATTTTTTCCTAAATATGTAAAATGCTTATAACCTGAAATTACTGCAAAGTTTTTTGGATACTCAGGATTCAATTAAATGTTCAGATTTGGTATGGCTTAACCCAGTGAGCCACCCAGGAGCCCCAAAGAGATTTTTTTTTTTTTTTTTTTTTTACTCACAAACATACTAAAAGAAAACATAAGTAAAATATTGATATAATTTGGGGATGAGGAGCATTTTGCCAAGCATAACAACAAACACGGGAAGACTTCACCAAAAGCAGATAGGACTTCATAAAAATTAAGTATTTCTGCAAGGCAAGAGAAAGCAAATGACAAGGAGAAGTTTTTGGCAACATTTGACAGATACTGGAGTAACAGCCTTAGTACAGAAAGGGAACATTCCAAGAAAAATGGGCAAAGACCAAGGATAGGCAGTTAATGAAAGAAATACAGACAGCCAGTACACATACAAAAATGTGCCTACTATACTTTTTTTTTTAATTTATTATTAAGAGACAGAGTCAGAGCATGAGCAGGGGGGAGGCAGACAGGAGGGAAGACACAGAATCCAAAGCAGGCTCCAGGCTCTGAGCTGTCAGCACAGAGCCTGACATGGGGCTCAAATTCACAAACTGTGAGATCATGGCCGGAGCCTAAGTCGGAAGCTTAACTGGCTGAGCCACAGGCGCCCCATGCCTGCTACACTTACAATTAAAGAAATGAAAACTACAAGACGCCATTTTCTTCTATCAGGGAGGCAAGAATTGAAAAGAATGCTGTTAAGTATGGGGAAACAGGTGCTTTCATAATCTACTGCGGGGAGCATCTTTCTGCACAACCTCAACCTACAAGGCCATTGTATAGTATGGAATTTAGAAGTCAGAAAATAATAGAGGCCAGGAAAAAATGTATACTGAAGGACTATTACAGTGTAAGCAGGTACGTGTCAAGATGTGAAATTTGCACTGTCCTTGACCCAGCAATTCCATCTTTGGAAATTTATTCCAAAGAAACACTCTCTCTCACATGCAAAGACGTGTAGAAGAAGGCTCCCCACTACACTACTGTTTGCAAGAGTGAAAAACGAAATTACGGTACGTACACATAATGAATGCTGTGCAGTCATTAAAATTTTTCATGTTTTTCTTACTCAAATGGAAAGATGGTTTTTAGGTATTAAATGAAAAGAGGCTACTCTACAGTGTATATACTTTTGGTTTAGAAATTGATATTTACTTATACACATCAGCATATAACCAAGGCTATGTCAGGATCTATAGATGATGGAACTGGGGTGATAACAGTTTCCTTTGTTTTGCTGTGTGTTTAATGATGAATTTATCATCTGAAAAACAAAAATGCTAAAAGGAAACTTCAGGAAATTTCAGTAGATGTTTTAGACAACTTATAAGAAGTGGTAACACAGTCTTGGTATTTTCTTGAAGGCGTGATTTAAACATTTTAACATACCCATTTAAGTATAAATCTTACCTCTTATAAGCCTTTTAATTGAGTCCAACTGTGTAATAAGCAGTATTTCTTCATATTTTAATATCTCGAATTTAACCTCATACAGTTCTAATTGGACTTCATAATATTGTATTTCTAATTCATCAACAACGTCTGTATTTTTTTCTTGTTCTGGAAGATCTTCCATCTGGTTTTCATGGAAAAAGTAAGAGCAGGTTAAAATAACTAGCACATTAAAAGCAAACATTAGATGCATTTGAGCAATATTCTATTCTTTGCTTAATACCAAATATAAAACGAACAGAGAGGAAACCTTTTTCCATTTAATAAAACAAAAATGCCTTACTTGATGTTTGTTACAAATATTTTAACTTACCCTTGAAACATATGAAAATATTTAGGCTTTTGAGAAAAGTAAATGACCGTGAGGCATTTGCAGCGTTTCCTGCTTCACACTCCTACCATTAGAGGAAGAAATTTAAGTGGCTATGATCCTGGGATAAAGTACCTTTTTATTACCCTCAAGTCATGCTGAAACACTGCTTGATTGATTTAAGTATCTCATCTACTTCAGGGCTGAGCTCAGTGTTATTATCAGGAGCACCCTACAATATATTTCAAAAAAAACCATCTTGACCGAAAGGAAGTTTCCTGCCAACCTCCCGCGGTCTACATTCGCAGCCGGTAGAAGATGTGCAGTGAGTGCAGCAAGGAAGCTCTAACCGTGTTTGGAAAGAAAGGCACCACCTAAAAGTGTTTTTCTGTTACTTTAGATTTTTTTTAAGTTTATTTATTTTTGAGAGAGACAGAGCAAAGGAGCGAGGGGCAGAGAGAGAGAGAAAGAGAGAATCCCAAGCAGGCTCTGCCCTGTCAACAGAGGGCCTGATGTGGAGATTGAACCCACAAACTGCTAGATCATGACCTGAGCCGAAACCAAGAGTCAGACCGACTGAGCCACCCAGGCGCCCCTAAAAGTATGTTTTTTTAAACCAAGTTTCATTTATCTTTGTCTTACCTTTCCCTGAATTTCGGCTCTTTTGTGATTTAAACACAACTCCTTGGCCCTCATGAGCTGCAGGGTCTCTTGGGCCAACATCAACTTGAGTTTTTCTAACCTGGGAGCTGCCGTGGCCCAGGCAGCTTGGCCAAACCTCTTCTCATCCTGTTCCATTTGTTTCTGCATTCCTGTCGGATTGGAATTAATAAAATAAAACATAATTACAACTCACCAAAAGGAAGAAAAATGTATCCCGAGCTAATTCTTTGTTTACTGCCTCCCACGTCACTTACAAAACATCCTTTTTAAAAGAAAATTTGTTTTATTTTAATGACCTTTTATTGTCACAAAAATAAAACATACATAAACATTTTAGATACTTCATTTTAAAAAAAGAGAAAAATAATAAATCCTGAATCTCACCTAGTAGAGGTGATTATTTCTTACATTTTGGTGCATATACTTCCAGACTGTTTCTATGTCTGTCCGGCTAGACAGGCAGTTTGAACCAAAACCAAAAAATAAAAACACCCCACAAGATCATCATTCCTTTTTGTATTTTATTTATTTCACTTGATAGATAGTGGAAGTGTCACCATTCACAAAAAACAGATCTAGAGAAGCACGCTTAATAGCTACATGGCATTTCACTTTACGGATGTAACTTAAACTGGGAGACACTCGGTGTCCTGTCTGGAGCCATCATCAACGACTTACAGATGAGACAGAAGTCCTTGTCCCCCACCCCCATCCCTGCCGTCTGCCGCATTCTTTTCCCACCATGTTCCCCCGCTCATCTCTGCTCCAGCCCCGAGACTCGACGTTCCTCACACTTGCCAAGCTCCCTCCAGCCAGAGCACCTCTGTGTGCCCTTTCCTCCTCCTGGAACACTCTTCCCTCACCATGATGCTCTCTCCGCTCCCACTGACCCTCCAGATATCAGGGCAAGGGCTATTTCCCAGAGGCCTTCACTGACCTAGGGAAGGAGCCTCGTTCCTCTCGGTGGCTCTCAGAGCCCCGTGCTTCTCTCCTTCATGTGGCCAGTTGTTAACTGCCATTCTCCATGTGTTTGAATGAATATATAAATAGGATTTCTCTGCCCTCACCAGACTGTGCAGTGTCTGTTTATACTTCTCCTTACACTGAATCCCCAGCTCCTAGAAAATACAGCGCCTGGTGTTCAAGAGGCACTCAAACGTTTTTTGAACAAAATGAAAATGACACACATCTTAGAATTTTAAACTGTTACCTGCTAACGCTTTTACTGTTTCTTTAAAATAATTCACTGTGATGTCCTGAATAGAGACGACAGCTTCTTCAGCCCTTCTGCTCCATTCTTTGGCTTCCTTCTGCAAGGCCACTATCCTTTTAGGACCCAGATCATCCTCATTCAAGGATTTCTACAAAAGAAGGGAAAACTGTATCAGTAAGAGAAAATAGTAATGTAGAGCCGTAGGAAATTGAAAGGAAATTGGACACATGGATGATTTCAGCTACTTTTATTACCACTACTTAGTTGATTAAATTTCATTCATTCAGCAATTCCTTACTGAGTATGAATAAGGCTCTAAGCTAGGAACCACCTGGAAGACAAAAGGATACTCGGGCATAAAGAAAAAGAAAAACCTACTTTCAATGTGCATTACTAGAATAACATTTTCTGGAGAGTCATGCTATCAAGTTATGTTTCTCTAACACACAATTGTTTAGGGGCGTGTGGCTGGCTCAGTCAGTGGAGCATGCAACTCTTGATCACGGGGTCATGAGTTCAAGCCCCACGCTGGGCGTACAGATTAGTTTAAAAAATAAAATAAATGTGGGGCACCTGGGTGGCTCAGTTGGTTAAGCATCTGACTTTGGCTCAGGTCATGATCTTGCAATCTGTGGGTTCGAGGCCCACGTCAGGCTCTGTGCTGACAGCTCAGAGCCTGGAGCCTGCTTTGGATTCTGTGTCTCTGTCTCTGCCCCTCCCACAGTAGCACTCTGTCTTTGTCTCTCTCTCTCTCCCCCAAGAGTAAATAAACACTAATAAATAAATAAATACCACCTTGATATAGCCCCACTATCATCTAAACAGAAGGGTGAACCCAAAGTGCAAACACAGACTGAAATCTTAAATGTGATGAAAGAAACAACATGTGACAAATAGTGAATCTGATAATATAAAAATATAAAGAAAACATACCAAAATGTCAAGCTTACATAAGGTTGCAACTTCTCTCATATCCCTAAACGGCTGCAGCAAATACTGGAAGAACATGGTTGCCACCGTAACTAATTCCTGGTAAGCTTCATCTTCCTCTCGATAGACTTTCATTAATGCCACCATGGTGTGGGCTTTATCATGCTCCTGAAGAACCTAGAAGACAAAATGTAAATAAAGCTCAGTATGGACAGTATTTATAAGCTCATAACAAAACTAAAGAAACCTTAATGTCCTAAAGTTTAACTTTTTTTTAAAGTTTATTTATTTATTTTTGAGAGAGACCGAGACCACACCAGTGGGGGAGGGTCAGAGAGAGAGAGAGAGAGAGAGAGAGAATCCCAAGCAGGCTCTGTGCTGCCAGCGCAGAGCCCAACTCAGGTCTTGAACTCACGAAACCATGAGATCATGACCTGAGCCAAAACCAAGAGTCAGAAGCTCAACCTACTGAGCCATCCAGGCGTCCCAATGTCCTAAACTTTAAAAATTTAAATAGCGATTAAATATTAAAAAGCTATTGTCCTCCAACCAAAATGCCCAATAAAACAAGAATGGTTAAATTAAGCCATGGTATATCCACGGTAGAATATCATTACTGTAATCATTCAGTAGTCGACACCACTAACAAACTCCTTTTATACAACCATTTTAATCGTAAAAGTTCATTCTAGGGGCGCCTGGGTGGCGCAGTCGGTTAGGCGTCCGACT